AGTTGAAGGTGAAAGGCCCCGTGGGTTTTTTCAGAAATCGAGACGGCTAACCCATCGGGGGAGTTCAGTGGTTTCCTAACGATTCCATCCAGAACAAAACAGAATATTGCTTTCCAGTCTCATAGGAACTGCAGTTGCATTATATGTATAATCCAAGAGGAGATACGCAAATTTCAAAAAACCATTTTGAAAGGACCGGAATCTCGTTCTCTTGTTCTGTGGGGTTAATCTATCAGGCTAAACGTGACGATAAAGAGATTATGTTGACCTAGGGTTTCGGCTCCATGGAAATGCCACATCGCTGAAAAGCGGTGTCAAAGCGCGTTTTTAAGGTCCATTATCTGTTGAAATAAACATCGCACCATAAAGCTGGATAGACTGTACGGGGAATAATTTTGTGTGAATAATTTCTAATAGATAAGGGAGAAAAGTCAGATAAAGACGCGAAGTTTAAGCTTGTTGCTCTCAGAAGCATTCTTCCCTTCAAGTGAGGTGGAACTCATTCCTGGTGAGGTGCCGCCATCTGCTGGACGTATTTTGTAGTATTTCTTGCATACATTACATTTGACTGGCGCCTTTATCCAAAACGACTCACAATAAGTGCGTTAGACTAGGAAAATACAATCAAAAACAAAACAGGATCATTAAAATATATCTGGGTTTATAGCCAAAACATTTCAAGTGCTACTCAACTGCCTTTCGATAAGCCAGTCCGTTGTTAGTAGGCTATCATAAGTGCTTCTGTTAGTACTTCTTGGTTAATATAATATATATATATATATTAATATATATCATTCGAAGTGGAGGGGTAATACTTGAGTTTTAACACTCAAAATAGTTACACATTTGGATTAAGGGCAGGGCAGTTACATAAATACATTAACTACGTTAGGAGTAACGACAAGTATTGTCCATTATATTAATAAATACCACTGAACACATAGCAAGCTAGTCAGATAAATACGATACAATCACTATGGATGGACAGTTTTAAAAAAAAAATGATTTACACGTCCCAATTCCCGGAAGTTTCCGAGAGCAATGGGGACAGGCTGAGAGATTGATTCTCAGTGGACTCAAACAGGGAAGACATGGGGAGGCAAACTCTCAGCAGTGCTGTAAATGACATGTGCACTGTACAAAAGGCTGGCTCAGAAGAAAGGTCTCAGACAGGACCTATAGAGGATCCAGTTCTCCCCTTCAGTTCCCCCCTCATTTACCCGGATTTATTTAATCCAGTTAAACAACCTAAAAGTAGATAGGAAACTGAAAACGTAAACAATTTACCACAATTGTGTTTTTAAGTTTATGAAGAAAGAGTAGAAAGTAAACAGGAGGTTTTTATAACTTTGTCAGTCAGAAGGAAGCTGTTAATGTTTAAACATGACAGAGGTGCTGCACGAGGCTAAAAGCCATCTCACACTGTTGGCTAAACACAGAGAGGTGATCGATGAGAGAAGCTTGTGCAGGAGCAGCTGCAGGGCACAGAGAGAGAGAGACAGGAGAAGTAGATGTTTTGAAGAGTTCAGAGAGAGTACAACTTATATAAAGTTAACTACTAGTCTGAAAAATGTCATATTGTTTTGTGAGTGAACATGAAGTAAAAATATATTTACTAGATATAAGAACAACATGCTTATCTAGGTTAACAGAAAACTGCTATCAACCAGTTTCAGCAGCTACTGTCCTATCTGTGTTCCAAAGAGAACATACGTTGCATTTACAATTCATATTGAGAAAGTTCACAATTGATACCATTAAAGACCGTTTTGGATTAATAGGGCGTGTCTGTCATAAACATTCGTGCTCAGATGGAATAAAGTGTTGAGATGTTCTCAAGAGTGGGAGTTTTCACAACGCTTTTTAGTTTGTATTGAAACAATTAAGTGATAAGGACAGAAAACTGTTCCGTGATGATTTCTTAAGGTTTTAGCTTTAGTAATGGAGATTACATTTTGTGAGGAAACTTTTCCACCAATAACAAGTGTTCAAAAATATATATTCATTAACTGTATAGCGCTAAATACAGTTAGTTTTGTATTCTGTTACAAATCTAACCTGCTTGTAACACAAGTTAGATAAACAATTTCAAAAAATAATAGAATAAGCAAGTGGTTAAGGAGGGTTTTCCTGTTTTGCTCATTTGATTTAGAACTGAAGTAAGGAAGAATAGGATTTTATGAGAACTGTCATTCCTCATGGTTTTTAAAGATAAATCATCAGTTTGTATGGACTTTGATGTAGAAATAGGATCATGGTGGAGAGGGAAGATCTTTTTTGGTTTCAAATTAAAGAAGATTTTAAAGATGAAGTTTATTTTATTTTTTTCTGACTAGAATTTTAGAAGCAGGACTTAAACTAGACAAGAGATTTTACAATGTGGTTTTACTACTTTTAATGGAGTAAATAATCTGGGTAGACTACTGCCATTGGTTTGTTGTAACATTCACATGTTTCAGCATTCCTGACCATATAGACACTCAGCCGTTTTATTTTGTAACCCTTTGGGGGAGAGATTTAAATTGAGTTTTTCTCCAGTTGCTGATTTGCTGTGATTACAGCAGCACTGGATAGTTGTGCGCCACCTTTGGGTTGTACTCTGAATCAGTGTGTTGGTGAAGAGTTGCTCACTACAGAAACAGAAGAACTGTGCAAAGAACGCATCTCTGAGGAGGGTTTGATATTTTGCTTGGGCCTCGTTGCCTAGGCAACAGTGGTGTGAAGAGGAACTGCAGTTTTTGGGGATTCCTGCTGTGCAGAGGACAACGTGTGTCTGCTGATTCTACCACATTGATCCAGAGGTTCCTTCCCCCTCAGGACATCCCAGTGCCAAACAAGAGTTTCATTGATCCAATAGACCTATCGCTAAGCCACGCCCCCTTTGAAAACTCGGACAAACAAAGCCGACCGTGAATGACTGTTGACAATGGCCGCGGGGGGAGTTCAAGTTCAATTGTCAGATTTACCACAGCAGGCAATAGACCTGTTTTTTTAAAGATGACACAAATATTTCGTCTAGAAGCAGACAGAGAGGGTTACAGTATGCAGTGGAAAAGTACGTTCATGAGATACAAATGTACAGAAAAGAAACCATTAGAATCGAGGCCAAATGCAACCACTCACAACTGAAAAGTGAGAAACCCCACAGGCTCTGTATCAATGTTGCTGATGACAACACCATCATGGAGCAGTGTTGTTCGTGTATTGCAGGGTAAGTAATTTCTAACACATTATTACCTTAGACCTCCATGGTGATGCAAGCATTAGCTATAGATAACGTTAGCTAGCTAGCTACTCTCAAGCATTACTTACAGTACAGTCTTACAGTATACAGAGCTATATACAAGTAGCAGCTAGTACGAGCAGTGTTCTCAAACAGTAGCCTATTTCTTTTCTCCCCTTCTCATTGCTGTTGAAACCATAGGGCACCAGGTTACTGTTCGCACATCATTGGACTCATGTACAGTTTAGACATTTCTCGTGCCCAAAATGAAGACACTGCCTCCTGTACAAGTCGGCCACAGCAGTGGCATAAACCCAGAGGGAAGAAGGTAGCAGGCCAGCCTATATCCTCTGCAGTGGTGGCAAAAGCCAAACTGAACCGCAAACGGAGACCAGTGATCCCCACCTACACTCCTAACAGGTAGTTTCAAAGCACAATAAAAACACAGATACATTTGGTAATAAAGGCAAAATGGTGCTCCTTCACAGTTTATTGAAAAAAAATGTTTGCACCGTCATGCAGTTTGATGTGAAAGAATAATAGCCTAGGCACAACATCAGATACATTTCTACAGTGAATAGTTAATACTATGCATAACACAGTTAACAGTAACATGTATATTTCTGCCTTTAGGAGTCAGGAATCTGAGGACATATATGAGACACTGAGAGGAATGAGAGGCACACCTATAAGCTACATCGTTAACCAGACCCCTATACAGGTAGCAGTAGGTGGAAAGAACTACCCCATTGGTTGTGGCTTGAGCTATCAGGTAATGGTATTCTTGAGGATGCAAGGCTGGAAGTTAGACAGCATACTCACAACATACCAGATCTGGTTGATGTTTCTCAACCTTATGTTAGGGATCCTCTCTGACACAATTTTAAATTTCTTTATCTTTGATATAGCACGTTCAACATGTATCCTGTGTTCAGCCACTTTTTTTGTCAGGCAGACATCTGTAGAGGGCATCTGCCTTTTTCCTCTGACGAAGGGTGGGATGTTTATTTCAAGTCCAATTTCTTGTAGGTCATTTTCAATTAAAAATCCTTTATCTACCATAAGCCCATCCCCTTCCTGCAGATAGCCATGTTTAAGCAGATTTTTCATTAGCTCAATAAAGTTGCTCTGCCTAACTATTTCTTTGTCAGACATAGATCCAGTGAAAAAAAGTTGAACAAAATATTACAGAACCTCGTGGATCACATGCTATGAGGGATTTCAATGTGTTTGCAGACTTGTAGGTTGAGTAGCTTTGGCTCTGCAATACAAGTGAAGATGGGGTTTGAATTTTTAACTCTGTACAGTCTAATATTGCCATCGTTGTAGGAAATTCCTCTCTGTACTTTCCTGGCATGTGTGCCATTATTATGTCTCTATGAGGCCATGCGGGTAGTTCCCCTAGAACTGTGAACATGTAGTCCACCCATGCGTTGAACAAAGTACCAACACTACGTTCATCAATCATAAATCTAAATGCCAAATCTTTTAAATCATGATTTTGTCTCAGTTTCATAAGAACAAGCAAGAGCTGCACATGCAGGGGCATTGTGTTAATTTGCCAATCAGTTCTGCTAAATGTCAATGGGACTGAAGTTTGCTGTGCTGTTTCACTGCTAGGTATACTAAACACAGTACATAGATTGTTGAATTGATCATAAGTGAATCCAGTGGCATATTTGAAATAGGCTGGTACACGGCTGTGCTGCAAGACCTCTGGTGTTAATCTATTTGGTACATGATTATCTCTCAGAACAGTATTTATACTCCTCAGTGATTCGATTTGTGCTTGTTGATTTCTCAATCTTTCATCTCGCTCGTCTTGTCCACCTTCCATTGGGGGAGGCTGCTCCACAGGCCGGCGCTCCTCATCTGGAGGCTCCTCCACACCCTGACCTTCTTAGAGAAGAGAGAGGAGTAAGACGGGAGGAGAGAGGGGTGATAGATAAGGAGAGAGGGGTGATGGATAAGGGGAGAGGGAGAGGTGAATGAGGGGAGAAAGGAATGAGGAGAGAGGGATAAGAGGAGACAAATTATTTCAAATGTTTTCTCTCGCTGCAGCTCCCACTGTTGCAGCTCCCACAGACCAACCCAGCAACATCCCTGCCTGTATCCTCTTACTGTACCAAGACCATCCCCATGCCCCTCTCTCCAGACATAGCCATACCAACACCACAGCACAAGCAGAGCTTTGATCTGGAGGAAGCAAGAATACTACAACTGCAAACCACGGGACAGGCTGCATGTCCACTGTGGCACAAGGAGCGAGAGGGCAGGCTGACTGCATCAGAATTTGGCACAATAGTAAAGAGAAAGAAAATTTCAGATGCCTTCATACAGTCCACATATTACCCCAAGCCCTTCACTGCTACTGCAACAACCTATGGGTCTGCCAATGAGTCAAAGGCCAAGCAGCTGTACCAGGAGACATTTCCAGATAGGCATGTTCATAGCTCTGGCCTCCTCCTGCAACCAGATCTCCCCTTCCTTGGGGCAACACCAGATGCTATAGTATGTGACAATGGTCAAACAGGCTTGCTTGAGGTGAAATGTCCCTTTGCAGCAAGGGACATGACAGTAGCAGAGGCAGCCACAGCCATAAAAGATTTCTATGTGCGTAAAGACGGAGAAGACATGCACATCTCAGAGAGGCATAACTGTTATTACCAAATTCAAGGGCAACTACTACTTAGCGGACTCGACTTCTGTGACTTTGTACTTTTTACAAGAAGAGATATATATATTGAAAGAGTTCACAGAGATATTCAGTTCATCAATGACATGATTGTAAAGCTGCACACATTCCATGATGCTCACTTTAGTCCAAAGACATAAATCATACCTCTTTCATTGTCACTCATGTCCTGTCTTGGGTTGACCTGTGTCGTCTCTGTGAGGGCAGTAACATCTCCAGCACACCTCATTCTGTGAAAAAAACACAAAAATCTGAGTATTAGCTAAGCATAGACAGATAATAATAATAGTTCATTTATGGAGCATCTTTCATACATAAAATGCAGCTCAAAGTGGATTTTATTGACAACAAACATAACAACATTGACAGATCAACATTTGTATTTGCCTTGTCAGGGATACAGCGAAAAGTCCAGGACTTATTTCCATCGTTGTCCCTGTTGTTACTGGTTTCAAGTGGCACTATGGCATCTGAAGTGCATCGAGCATTCTTAGTGCATAATCTAAAGTGCATGTAGTAGTATTCATGTTTCAGTTTTTTTTTATTATAAAAAAAAGCATCATTCATGCTCATTGGTGCATTAAAAACAATTATTTTCATCAACATGTTATGTTAGCAGTGGTGGTCACTACATTAAATCTATAACTATAACTGTCCTTGTTGGTCATCATTTTCACTGTTATGCACCTGGCTGACTGTAACGTTACCTTTTTTTGGGTGAGGGTCTGTGTCTTTTCGGAGCAGCACACACGAGAGCCCGGATGGGATCTGGATATTCCAGAGTTGGCTTCCCATCTCTGAAGTGCTTTGAGGTGAAAAGACAGTTAGCAAAAGTTAGCTAAAAACACCAGCTAACTAGCGAGGACGAAAAGTCAGACAGCAAACGTTGATGTTGATAACACTGTAGCTAGTTAGCTGGCTAACAAGTTGGCAGCTAACGTTAGCTAGCTGGGCTGGATATACGCTAGCTAGTTGGCAGTCAAAGTCAATCGTTAGCAAACTAATAGTTTGGTCTACGTTTCTAATACATGCCGTCAAATATTATGTCTTTATGAATTGACCTTACCTTTGAGCAAACATAAGTGTCCTTGGTAATTTTCTTCACATTCAGTTGTGTATGTGGTCGACGACACAGCATAATCCACCGCTTGCATTTCTCGAGTTTTCTTTTGGGCTTCGGAAAAGGTACGAAATATACTCCACCATCCAGTCTTTCAGGGTACCTGGTGTCCGGATTACAGGTACCCCACGCACAGCGTTTCACCATCAGATATTAGCTAGATAATAAGCTAACTAATGAACTCTTCACAGTGGTTTCGATCACAGACGTCTGGTTTTGGTTTTGATGCGGCTCACAAACGGCTTTTCTGGGGATGTCCGAGTTTTCTGCCAGGAGGGATTTTCGCTGTGATATGATTGGACAAATTCTATTTTGGGGCGTGGTTTAGCGATAGGTCTATTGACTACAGCTGCAGAAGACAACACATCACTGACTGTTCACATTATGACAAGATCTTGAGACAAGCTTGTCTCAGATTGTTCAGACTCTGTATAAATTATGCGATGATTTGACAGCATAACTGTTGTTTAGAGTCGGAGAGGTCCTGATAATTTATTCCGGTAAATTACTCTGACCTACTAATTGACCTGACCGAAGTTATTGAGTCTATGTAAGTTTGCTGCTTGGCTCAGATCCACCAACGTCAGCAAGATCTCACCTCTATTAACTTCCCGAAGAACCCGGTTCAATTAACTGCTGTTTCAATTCAGACAACTCTTTTTTAATCTGTTTAAGGGATCCCGAAGGATTTTGATATCAGTAAATGGAGTGTGCTCCTACCTAAGTGTGTGTGGCAGGGTGCAGTCTTACCTTTGAAGCAGGAGAGGAGAGCACAGGTTGTCTTTTAAGTTATCCCAGTCCAAAAGGTGGGATCAGTTTATTTGAAGAAAAATAGGTCCAAACTAATACAGGGTTTTTACCTTCTCTCTTTACAACATTATAATCATACTAAAAAAAAATGGTGCTGTGATCATGTTCAAATATTAAACTTGAATTCACAATCTTACATTTATTACCAAAATGTTTAATTTCAACTGCCCAATTCAGTTGTGACATTTTAAAATCTCCCGATAGAATTTAGAGGTATTTCCTCATAAAAAGACCGGTGACAATAAAAAGCGCATTCAACTTTTCATTCACCAAATCAATTCACATCAGTTTCTTACCTTTTTTCCAACACAGACGGCGGGTATAACATTCAAAAACCCATTCCTGTCCGCAATAATTCGGAGGAAGATTCCTCACAGGTGGCGGGTTATAATATTCATACACTTTTTCCGACACAGACGGCGGATTAACATTCAAAAACCCATTCCTGTCTGCAATAATTCGGAGGAAGATTCCTCACAGGTGGAGGGTTATAATATTCACGAACACATCTCTCATCAAATCATTCCACTCAGCCAACAACCAAGAAATTCGAGAGATATTTACCACGTGTGAGAGGACCTTACCGAGAGCTATTAACCCAGCTCTGAAGCTTTCACTCTCAACCCCTGTCTTTATGCACAAAACCCAGATAGAAAAAATCCCAAAACGCCTCCTCCACACCTAATTTGTGGAAAACTGGGCATGGCTTCTACTGTACAGGGCTGGACATGACCCGACATGTTCCATAGCTTATGGCATAAGACACACCTTCCTATGTTAGTGTAAACAGGACTTGACCCCTTTTTGAGGCCTCTAATGTGTTTCTCCTTAAGCCTGGAGCCCCCCTCCCTGTGAACTGCTGCCAGAGGAGAGGGAGAAAACGGCCTACTCTCTTATCAGAAACACCCATAACTCTTTTTAGGCTGTACACTCAACTTAACAAACCACTTGGTTTTGTTTATACTGTAACTATAGAAAAACCTAAAATATGAAGTATTTTTCATTGTGGGTTATATAAGAATATAATTGATTATATTTGATTATAACTAACTTTCGTTTTAAGTATTAAACATACTATGAAAACTCACAACACCCTCTTTTCAAAACGCAAAGTTATCAAATAGCAACAGAAAAAAATTGTAAGCATACATACATATTCAAAAACCGTCAAGAAGCATTCTCATTATGGGTTTATACAAGAATATGATTGATCATCTATGATTTATAATTAACTTCCGTTTTTAAGTATTCACTTCATACTATGATCTCAACACCCTCTTTTCAAAACGCAAAGTTATCAAATAGCAACAGAAAAAATTGTAAGCATATATTCGAAAAACTTCAAGCATCAAATAACATGAAAAGTTCTTCAGTAACTGAAATAAGGGCGCACTCCGTTGATCCTGGGGTGGCCAACACCGAAAACATAGTACCGCACAGGAATGTCCTTGGGGTCACAGAGGTCAGGTACCAGAGTAAAAAGAGCCCATGGGCCGTCATGAGGAAGATAGATTTGTGTGCGCACCCCTACTCGGCCAGGCATTTTTAGGATCGGGGGGCCCATCTGTTGTTCCAGTGTAGACTCCTCAATCCATGTTGCCATCTGTTGTAAATCCTTGACCCTGACCATGGAGGAGTTGCAGTTTTTCCCTGGACGACATCTCCAAACGAAAGGCCAGACACCCCGGTCGATCATACAGTTGTCAGGTAGTCGTCGTCCTTTCTGGGAAATCCACTGCAATCTTAGTGGTTTTTTGGGCAAAGATGCATTCTGTCCTCCAGCACTCGAAGAATCGTCCTCCTCCTCTGGCGGGGTCATAGGTGACTCAGCCGCTGATCCATTCTGCACCGGTTTTCTGGTTTCAGAAATTGGCTTTACTGGAAACCCTGTGACTGAAGTAGTCCCGCTTGGCAGGTTCAATTCCTCTTGGTAGATTCCAGAGGTACTAATCTCATCCATATAGTTATGATCATACACGTATGCGACCTCTGATTCATTAATAATTGTTTCATTTGAAACAATTTACCCCAGGAATCCTTCCAAGGGGTCTGGTACTCCATGTTCCTCTGGAATTTCTATTGACAGCAAGGGCATCTTTTTGGCTTGGGCACCCGGGGAGACCTCCGAATCAGATCGCTCTTTTGTCTTACGAGTCTCCTCCTTTTCACCGCTTGCCCCTTCCGGTCCTTCTGCACAGGTGTTAGAGTTTATTGAAGGATAAAAATGTGTTTTCATAAACTGTGTTTTCATAATGTATTCTCATTTGCTGTGTTACAAAATGTGTTGATGGAGGAACAAAGCATAGTCTGTTTAAAATGACACACATACACACACACACAGATTCACATGACTGAGAGACACAAGATCCACACGAACAAATAAGGCGTTGGTCAAGACCACATGATTGTCTCATGTTACTGTATTGTTGAAATAAAAGGACTGCACTGAGAGGAGGCGAGTGGGAGTCGGTTAGAGAGTTGGCTCTCCTAGCTGGGAGTTGGTTAAGGAGTGGACATGGCATATGTCACTCGCCGAGTCTCCTAGCTGGGAGTTGGTTAAGGAGTTGACATGACATGTCACTCGCTGATTCTCCTTGCAGCAAGTAAACTTGAAACTTGAGTCCTGTTATCTTTGTTCACTGGGTTCTGGTATATTTGAACCGAGCTGGGGTTTACCCTTACAAAGTAATATAGAAATACCCCACATTAATTGGTCCTTCGAGCCGGATTCCAATACATCGTGACAGGAAGGAGGAGGGAAAAGACACGCCGCAAGTCTGTCGACAGCCGGGATCATCAGCCGACCCCGAGAAAGACCCGGGACGCAGAATTCGTGGCCGGGCCGGTGCTTATATGTCCAACCTCCCTCATCCTCGGCACGATTGACGGAATCCAACCGGACCAGTGACCACAGATAACGGGTAAGATAAAAGTTAATATACATGGTTTCTCCACCATTTAAGGAGGTAGAGAAAGGCTTCTCCGCCATTTAAGGAGGATTGAGAAAGGCTTCTCCGCCATTTAAGGAGGATTGACGTGTCTTTGGGTACACTTATGAGAAAGGTTTCTCCGCCGTTAAGGAGGTTGATAAAACGTTGATTGAGAAAGGTTTCTCCGCCGTTAAGGAGGTTGATAAAACGTTGATTGAGAAAGGTTTCTCCGCCGTTAAGGAGGTTGATAAAACGTTGATTGAGAAAGGTTTCTCCGCCGTTAAGGAGGTTGATAAAACGTTGATTGAGAAAGGTTTCTCCGCCGTTAAGGAGGTTGATAAAACGTTGATAGAGAAAGGCTACTCCGCCGTTAAGGAGGTTGATAAAACGTTGATAGAGAAAGGCTACTCCGCCTAGGAGGAGGATCGACGTGCCTTTGGGTACACTTATGAGTGATTGAGTGAAAGCAGTGTGTAAAAGTGTCACCAAGTGGAATCAGCGCACAGAGTGGAAACCTAACGGTGATAACAAAAACTCTGGTCTGTTGAAGTACACTAGTGGTGAATTAGGAATTAGGTTCTGACCGGCACGTTGTCCAGTAGGAACACCAAGCAGTAAGAGAATTAAGCGACAAACTGAGAGCGATAGTGGAAGAACACAAAGCGCAGGAACAAAGAATAAAAAGAAAGCCCCCCTTTTTTCTTCACAGCTTTCCTCTAATTGCTGAAGCAGCAGTATGACTGCTTGTGCTTCTTCTCAAAATGCCTCAAAAATGGCTGCTGAGCGTTGAATTTAAAACAAGGAGTGAATAATCAACGACTGGTCTGAAGTTGGAGTGAATAACATTGAAAATTAATAGATCAATGTGTCATAGATATTTAAATAAATAAGAAACTATAATTTGTCGTTTTTAGCATAGTTTTTGTGGGATGCAGTTACGTCACATTGTGGT